GTCATTACAAAGACAGAAGAGGAAGAAAAGACCATAATGGATGTCAGACAAAACTTTGAATATGCACTACAGTGCCCCCAAGGGCCGCACAGGAGAACATAATATTACAATTCAATGTTCAAAGAGCTGGAGCCAGAAAATCAAAAGGGCTAAACTCTCTCTGCATTTCTTAAGCTGAAGGAACTGAAAAAACAAATTCAAGCCTAGAGTTGCAATATTTAAGGATGCTTTTGGCAGACTATTAAATGTTCCAGTGAGCATTAAAAGAAGATAGAAAGAGTATACAGAGTCATTGTACCAAAAGGAAATGGCGGACACAGAAGAATTTTATGAAACAACACATGAGCAAGAGCCTGTGCTGAAGGAAGAAGTTCAAACTTGCTCTGAAGGAACTGGAGGGGGGAAACAAGACTACCATAAAGTGTAAGAAGTCTCATCATCCTTTCTTCTAAGGAGCACTCTAACAGATTCAAACCAGCCATTAGGTTAGTTCCAACTCATAGTGAACCCTGCTCGAACAAGGATATAAATTGTATTAGAGGAAACGGCTTATTCCAGGGTTCCACTGGTAAACTCCAAACAACCATTGGTTAGAAGTGCAACTCACTGCGGATTATGCCATCAGAGCTCCTATTTTAAACGGAAACTAATTATTTCGCTTTTTTTTTATTCCTTTCTGTTGTTGTTGTTGTTGTTGTTAAGTGCCATCGAGTCACTTGCGACTCATAGCGACCCTATCTACAAGAGCCCTAAACGCCATTCTGTCCTGCACCAACCTTCATCGTCTCTGATACACTCATTCCCACCACCCCAATCACAGAATTGATCCATCTCATCGAGGGTCTTATACATATTTCATTGTTTATTGGTTGCCTGCCCCTCCCCACACAAGAATATGCTTCAGAGGGTAAAAAGTTTTCTAACTTTCTTCTTAGGAATAATTTTCTGTAGAAGAGATCATGAGACTTTATTTCACATACTTTGGGCATAGTATCAAAGGGGCTAATTCTTGGAAAAGAACATCATGTGTGGAAAACTAGAGGGTTAGAGGAGGAGGAAAATGTGTGACTGTTTAACATAGTGATTGCAACACAGGGCTTGAGTTTAGCAGAGATTGAGAGGCAGGGTTTGGATCTGTTAGGCATTGGATCCCTATGAGTCATAGTATTCTCTAAGAACACCTAACAGCAGCAACAGAAATATAAATATGACTTGGCCAGCAGAAGGGCCAACTGAGCACATTTTGGGGCACTTTGGAACATGAAATGAACTAGCTCAGGGCAGACCTTGGTGCTTTTCTACTCCATATACACATGCCTAAGCTAGACTGGCAACAGGAGTGTTGCAAAGTTAAGTAAAAGCTGTTCTGTGCCTTCCAAGAGTCTAGTGGATAAGAAAAAAAGAAAGAAAGAAAAAACCACCGAACTAACAAAATATCAAAAGGACTACTTATATCAGAAAACCGAATATTGAGAGTAGCTAAATCTCCCCCGGAAGGCCCAGCCACTTACTCTAGCTTCTTGAACCTCTCTCTGCCGGCGGCCACATACTTCCCCCCTTGCTGTAGACTGTCCAGCTCCTGGACCAGGTGGCCATGCATGGGCGTGTAGATCCGCTGCACGCCGAAGGGCAACGTGATCTCCTCGTTCAGTTGGTTCAAGAAAGCCTCGAAGGACGCCACCCGCCGCCGGTTGAAGACAAACTTCTTACCCACATAATACTGGTCTCCGTTGCGGTATACCAGAAAGATCTTGGCCGGGGTAGTATCTATCAGGGAGTAGGGTGCACGGGTGCCCATAATGGCACTGGGCGCAGATGCGAGCAAGGAGGGCGGGCGTTCCACTCACGCCCCAGCTTAAACTCCTCCAGCCCTCTCCACGTGGTGCCCTGGGCCCCGCTGGCAGGTGAGTCGCCAGCCAAATGTGGGTGCTGCTCTCTTGTGATTGGTGGATCTAGGATTCTTTGTCTCTCCTCCTTTCAGGGTTTGAGGTGAGACAATTGTGGAGAAGACAACAACTGGGAGAGACCCTGATGCCTTCGGGTCAGACAGCTGGACAGGAATCCCCGCCAGGCACAACCCAGCTGCCAGCGACGCAGCCTCCTCCAGGGCCTCCAGGAGTTGATGGCCTGACTGCTTCCAGAGCCCTGTGTGTTGACGTGACCTCCCAGTAATTGTGACCTGTGCCCTTGGCTCTGCTCAGTGGGCTGTGAGAGGGGCGTAGAGTGCCAGGAAGAGGTGCTTTTAAGGGACTACACAGATGGGGAAATAGAAAATGACAATTCCTGCAAAAATTACTGAAATAAAATTGTGAGAGAGCACTCTCAAACACGCATTACTCTAGTTTCAGAACCAATTCATAGCTGATACTCCACGGTGTTTTCAGAGCTGTATGTGAATGACACTGGAGATTACCCAAACTTTTCCTGCGGAGTTGCTGGTGGATTCCATCAACCAGAGAGATGCCATCTTTGGTTAGCAGAAACAACTCCCTACAGAGCAGGCCACCAGAGCCTAGTCTGTGGGAGAGCAGAGGGTGAGAAATAAGAGGATCCACTGTGTGCCCCAATGCAACGCCTTCCACAGCACTGTTTGCCTTACTCTGAAGACCCAGCCACTTGAGATGAATTGCCTTAGTGGCAGGTGGGTGAGTAAAGATGGATAGTATATCAGAGTTAAAGGAATAGAATATCTTAAACTCAAAATTGTGTCTCAGTTCTACTAGAAAGTGAACAGGCTTTCTGAGCTTTAGTTTCTTTTATAGTTCATGAGGGAGTATTTGACCAGTTCCAAAAAGGAAAAAAGAAACAAACACAAACTTCTGGAATTACTGATTTAGAATTGATCACTTGCTCTTTTTCTACCAAAGGAAGAATTGCCTGAGATCAAAGCCTTTAAGAAAATCAGATTACAAATTGCAGCTAGTTAATGGTATCTGTCGTCATCGTCATCGTCGTCGTCGTCGTTGTTGTTGTTGTTGTTGTTAGGTGTTGTTGAGTCGAATACAACTCATAGTGACCCTATAAACAGAAGATTTGAACCCTGTTATATCCTGTACCATCCACACTTCCTATCCATTACAGCAGTCACCATGTCAATCCACCTGCTTGAGGGTCTTCCTCTCCTTCACTGACCCTCCACACTTCTCGGTTTCATGTCTCTAGCTCCAAGGAATAGCAACTCCTAGCAACATGCCCAAAGTATGTGAAATGAAGTCTCCTCATTCTTGACTCCAAAGAGCACTCTGTCTGGACCCTCTCCAAGACATATCAGTTTGTTCTCTTGGCTGTTCATGGGGTGTTCAATTCTCTTCTCCAACACCATAGCTCAAAGGGATCAATTCCTTTTCTGTCATCTTTCCTTATTCATTGTCCAGCTTTCATATGCATACATAGCAAGTAATCAGAAAGACTATGACCTGAATCAGATGCACCTTAGTCCTCAAACTGACATCATTACTCCTCAATAATTTGGAAAGGTCCCTAACTGCAGATTTGCCCAGTGCAATGTGTCTCCTTATTTCCTCCTTATAACCAAGGGGGTTAATTGTGGACCCAAGGAAGATGAAGCTGTTGACAGTTTCAATCTCCTCTCCATCCTTCATGACCTTGCCTATCGGTCCAGTAGTAAGAATCTTTGTTTTCTTGAAATTGAGATGCAATCCATGCTGAAGGCTAATCTTTTGCATCAAGTGCTTCAAGTCCTCTTCGCTTTCACTAACAACCTGCATTATACAGATGAGACAACTTTGAATGGTATCTAAGGAATTTTAATTCTGGATACATCCTTATCCATTGTTCCTGTTGTTGTTAGATGCCATTGAGTTAACTACAACTCACAGCTACAATATGAATGAACGAAAGATCTGAACCTTGTCCTGTTTTGTGCCATCCTCATAATCTCTGTCATGTACAAGCCCATTGTGGTAGGCACCATATCAACCCATCTTGTCAAAAGTCTTCCTCTCTTGACCCTGCCTTTCTCAGTATGATGTCTTTTTCGAACAACTGAGTCCTCCTGAAAATATACCCCAAATAATGGGACAAAGTTTCACTATTTTTGCCTTTAAAGAACAGTTTACACTTCCTTTAAAACAGACTTTTTAGTCCTTTTGGCAGTCCACAGGATATACTATATCCTTATTTGAGGGGAGAATAATTCAGGGAGATGTGTAAGCTCAGGAGAACCATTCTCTGTTCTGAGTAAGGAGTCCCTAACCGGCATAAACCATGAATGGTATTCAGCCTCGAAGTGGTAAGTTAAAGTTGGAGGTTCACATTCACTCAGAAGACAAACATGGTGCTCTATGTCTGAATAAAACAGTCACTGACAACCTTATGAGACACAGACACACATGGGATTACCCTGTATTGGAATCCACTCAAAGACAATTTATTCTGTAATTTTGGTAAAGATGGGCTAGTTACCTTAAACTAGGATAATGAATGAGTCTAGAAATACATTGTTCTCAAAATAATAGTTTCAATGCCCTTAAAGGAATGGAATTGTCTCACAGCTGACCCTCCAGCAGATTTTCTGAGGCTATATGATGCAGAGGAAGAGACTAATTATGTTTCTCCCATGGAGCTAAATAGATGATATATTATTTGTTAAAAGGTGGACGGACAGCACAGGAGAGGAAGACCTCAAATAAGATGGATTGATACAGTAACTGGGCCTATGGGGGTTGGTGTGTTAGAATTAGTGAGATTGGCTCAGGACAGGGAAGGGTTCAGCTGTACATAGAGTCGTTATACATCACAGGTGACTCAATGGCACATAAGAACAATAATATACTATGAAAGGCTCGGAAGCAGGAGGGGCATCCACTCCCTAAATAAATGCCTCTGAAAACTCTATGAACTTTGGTAAATGTCGATAGGTGTAGAGGGGCTTCAGGCTTTTTTCATAGGGTCACTACGAGTCATGCTCAACTCGAAGGCAATCAATAACAACAACAATATACCAGTATGATGTTATTGTTATATGCCATCGAGTTGCTTGCAACCCTATATACAGAAGCTCTGAACTCTGCTCTATCCTGAGCCAAATGTATTGTCTCTGACACACCCACCTCCCCCCATTATCCCAATCACAAAGCCAATCCATCTCATCAAGGGTTTTCCTTTCTTGTTCTGTCTCTCTACCCTCCCAAGCTTAACATCCCTCTCCAAGAACTGATCTCTCCTTGCAATATGCCCAAAGTATGTCAAACAGAGCTTCAGAATCCTTGTCTCCAAGGAGCAACCTGGTCTTGTCCTCTCCAGGATGAACCTATTTGTTCCCCTAGCAGTCCATGGATATTCAAAACTCCTCTCCAACACCACAGCTCAAAGGCATCAATTCTCCTTCTGTCATCCCTAATAATTGTTCATCATTCTGATGCATATAGCAAGTAATTGTGAAGACCATGGCCTGAATTCAGAGGCACCTTGGTCTCCAGGCTGACATCAGATGTAGTGCTTAAAAAAAAATTAATCTTTTAAGAAAAAGGAAAAAAAATGAATCTTTTGATTCCTTAAGAGATCACCTACCATTCAATTCTTAAACTACCCTATTCCCAATAACATTAAATACAGACATCAATTTTTAAGAGCCATTACTTTATTAAATCACCAGGAATTATACTGATCTTAAAAAGATTATTTGACAGACACGTTTTAGGATTCAGGTGTTCAGAACAAAATGAAGAATATTTCTAATTATTAATATGCAAACAGCAAAACCGTTTTTGCTGTGTGAAGATTTGCCTTCAGACATTTAAAGGCTTGTTCTAAAACCTGGTTTAACTGTAAACCTCAAAAGGGGCTTTTCCCTCGACCGCAGAAGGCAGATGGAGCTCGGGAAGCCCCTGAGCCGGAGACGGCTCACTCCTCCATCGGGAGCGATGGTCAGCCTTGCGTGGGTGATGACATCTTGGAGCTCCAAGGTTAAGCTGTCAAAATGGTGATTCTGGTTTGGGAGTAGCTAAAATAAAGGAATATACAGAGGTCCTTTGTTACATCATGATATTCATTGTCTAAATGTGCTTACTTACGCCTACTTACACAATGTCTACAAATAGGCCTATACCCACAATAACCAACAAGATAATTTAAACAGTTGTTATTGTTAGCAAAACTGTATGCACAACAGAATGAAATACTGCTCAATCCTACACCAAAAAGAAAAACTATTAAGTGATTTGGCTTACCAGAGAGATCTTCTAGTAGAGAAGTCATTCACACATTGCCATGGAGTTGAAACCAACTCATACGTGACCCTTCACTGATTTCTAAGGCTGGGTGGGGATTACTCATCTTTCTCCATGGAATTGGTCAACCTTTTGGTTAGCAGCACAACTCCTGTACTGACTAGGCCACCTAGGCCTAATGATTCTGAGATGAATACTCTGATAACAATTCTAATATTAAACCCAGGTTTCTGTAGCATTTGTAGTTTTAATAAATATTTGGACTAACTTATAAGAAAAAGAAGAGGGTACCTTGTAAGTCCTAAAAGTCATCACCTATTATTAAGCTGGAGCTACTCTTGCCTTCCTGACCTGCAAATGATCACTCCCTTTCTACTTGTTCAAAGAAGACATTTTTTAACAGCTCAGAGCATGCTTCACACTTTATAGTTTTAAATATGATAAGCTGATCCTTCAAGAAAAGTTAAATGTAATGTATGTATTTTTTCATATATGGAAATAAAATTTAATTGTTAGAAATTTAAAAATGCATCCTAGGTGGCAGGAGCTCTGGTGGCAGCCTAGTGGTAAAAAGCTGCACTGCAATACCAACTGCACACAATTCTAATACACCAGCTGGTCTGCTGGAAAAAGATGGGCAATCGCCTTCCATATGATTAACTGCCTCTGAAAAGCCCACTAGAAGGTCAGCTATGGGTCAGGTCTAACTCAATGGTACACAACTGAAACAACATACAATATCCCAAAGATATAAGAGCTGTAATACAAATTGACACATTCACACACTCATGTTTATAACAGTATTATATACAATAACAAAAGGTTGGAAACAACGTATTAAGAGGTGAATGACTAAGGAAACTATGACACATTCACACAATGCAGTACTATGCAACACTAAAAAATGATCAAGAATTTGTGAAATACTGCACAACAGGGATTAATCTTATACCAAGTTACATAAGTCAGTCACAAACTGACAATTACAATATCACTCATTGATTGCTGTAGAGTCAGAATTAATTCATAGCTGATCCTCAAAAGAGTTTTTCAGGAGGCTTGTAAATTGCATGGAAAGAGGCTTACTCTCTCCCACAGAGCCACTAATGGATTGAACCACCAGTCACCATCTTTGGGTTAGCAGCACAACTCCCTAAGGACTAGCTACCAGAGTTCTCTCAAATTCAATACTAACACAAAAGCTAAGGGAAATGTTTCTATTCACACAGGATCAATTTTAGAAAATTAACAAGAACGAGAAGGAAGGGAAAGATGAGCCTAAATTAATACGTAAATTGTATAAAGGGAAGGACAATATACCATCAGGGTTTGATTAGACATTGTCATTAATTTATTGTATTAATAAACTATAATTAATTATAAAATAATGTCTACAAGTTTTGTTGGGACTGAAAACCAATATGATTTGTAAACTGTCCCTCAAATAAAAGATTTTTTAAAAAGAAATATAAAGATGTGAAAAATATCACTTGTTTTATTATTATAAATTATTATTGTTACCAGCATGTATTAAAAAAAAAGGAAGCTCATTCATCTTCTGTTAAAGCAAACAGAAGATTTGGTGTTAAATAACAATCCTTCTAAACTAATTTAAGTAAAAGGTATTTATGGGGGGGTCAGCTGACATAGATTACCTAATGGATATTGTACCACACTAACCTTTGTGACTGGAAGCAGTGGTTTCCATTTATGGGCTGGAAGATTCCACTTTTGTTTAATCATGTCTTCTTCCTCTTGAGTAGTCAGAATACAGCCATCAAGTTTACAACTGTAAGGAGAATTACCTATTAAAAAAAAAAAAGAACGACTGTCTCTTCCATCTGCACTCAGCACAGTGTAATTTCTTCCTAGTCTGTATTAGTCTAAAAGTTGTGCTGAAGCCTGTTGAACATCACAGCATGAGGCAAGCTGCCACTAACAGACTGGTTGTGGTTACACCTGAGGTGCATTAGCTAACAATCAAACATGAGTCTCCTACATTGAAGGCTTTGTGGGTTATCACTGATGGATACTGCCAGTATCTCTCATTCTCGTGACTGTCATATTGAACCTAAGGTGTCTTGGGGCTTTAGTTAGGTGAATATTCTGATTGTTATCTTGTTTTAATTATTCTATACAAATAAATTGAGCAATCCCAAACAATTCTTACTAAGGACATGGATTAAGGATAATACTAAAAATGTACACATAACAGAATAAGAGGAAAGGAATAGAGCTGACACTTCACTTACACTCAGGATAAGCACTGAGTCAACTATGTTGAAAGTTAACACAGTGACTAGCAGACTAGTGAAATCAGAGCTAAAAATCTAATGTTCCAAATATAAGTTAAAACTAACTTGTTAGGAACTCATCCTAAGTCTTTTTATTGTGCCTTGACAATAATAATTGAATGAAGCCATGATTAGCAAGACATTTTTTTCCTTTTTCAAAATTTTAATTTTAATTTTTTATTATTAATTTTAATGAATGTTCACAGAGACTTTGGATTTCCATTCGTTCAATGTTGTATTTTTCTGCCTGCCTACCCCTCCCTCTCAGTTCACTCTTTGAAAAGTAAAAGAAAATTTCTTTCATTGGTATACAATCTCTCCCTGAGTCCACTCCACTATGCAGCCTTCATTCTGGACTATTGTCATGACCATAATACCCAATCATATATCGATTAGCAAGACATTTAGAAATCAGACATACAAAATTATAAAGTGAAACCATTTTCTTTTCAGTGATAATTCAAGAATAACGATACTGAACCCAATATTTAATAGGATTTCATCTAACAATTACAAAAATTTAGTGGCCTTTTTGGAATCTTCTTAATATAATGACTAGTATATCTGTTCTTTCCTATGAACCTAGAGAAAGGATGAAAATTATACAAGTCTTATTCAGGTCTTTCGTTCATAGGGTCGCTGTGAGTCGCCTACAACTCCACAGCACTTAACAACAACAACATACCTGTTTTTTAACTAAATGCCTAATAGTAGCTATATTTGTTCAAGTATTTCTTAATTGGAGGAAAGAATTTAAAATATTAATAAATCAGTCCTGGGGAAGAAATGGTCAACAGCACCATTCTATTTAGGACTCTTTCCTATAATAAAATATCCCCATGGCTGTTTTTCTCAAGTCCTGATCAAAGAATGATATAAGCTGTTGGGAGCTGCAAATCCAAAGGTGGCACCTCTCTGGGAGTTTGAATACACCAGCAGCTCCATAGGAAAAAGATGAGCAATTTCCTCTTATGTGATTTAGAATTTCCCAAATATCTACTGGAGGGTTTTACTATGAGTCAGTTCAGACCCCACAGCAATGAGAACTTTTTGAAGACCCAGGAGTACTTCATAGGCCCTTCCTAAATTGGATTCAGAGATTCTATAATAAAGAGCCTTATACTAAAATTATATATATTATATGCATTCATATATTACATACATATACATAGTATAATTGGGAGAGGCTTATTCTGTCTAGTACTGAAATATTATAAATTAAGAACTAAAGTACAAAAAGTTAAAATAATTTGCTCAGAATGGTACACTGGTAAATGGAAAAACCAACTTCAGAGCTCAAGGGTCTTAAATCCTAGTCCCATATTCTTTCAGCTCTTCCATAGGAGCCATGTCATTTTTATATTCAGCATGCTGATGCTAAAGCACTGCTTACTGGTTTTACATTCACCTTTAAAGTGTTCTGTATCTACTTCAATTTGGGTTATGACTCCAGGATGTCCCAGTCGGAAAACTGCCCATTCACAACCTGGCACTTGGAGAATGCCATTCTCATCATTCTGAAATTCAAAGAAACAACAATAACCATGTATCTTGGAGTCATTCAAGAAACTAATCCTGAAAGTATGTATGCAAAAAATATTGTTATGCTGTACTTGTGTTATTTCTTACTGTAAAAAAAATGTTTTCTAAAACTCAATTTGTAAACTAGGTATTGCAATATTGCATTTTTGCTGCCATTATTAAATGTCTCATGATAATTAATTAATTGGTATTCAGGGACCTCTAACAGAAGACAAGACTCTATGAAGAATAATGTGGCATCAGGATTGGAGGAAGGCTCATCAATAACTTTCATTATGCAGAGGACATAACCTTGCTTACTGATAGCGAGGAGGACTTGAAGAGCTTGCTACAGAAAATCAAAGACTACAGCCTTAAATATGGATTGCAACTCAACATCAAGAAAAGAAAAATTCTCACTACTGGCCCTATAGGCAACTTCATGATAGATACTATTTGAAACTGTCAATGATTTCATATTACTTGGATCCACAATCAATATATTGGTACCAGCAGTCAGGAGATGTAATGCACTGGGAAAAGTTAGGGACCCCTTCAAATTATTGAGGAGCAATGATGTTAATTTGAGGAGTAAGGTGTGTCTTATTCAGACCAGGGTCTTTTCAATCACTTGTTATACTGCTGAGAGTTGGACAGTGAATAAGAATGACAGAAGAATCAATGACTTTGAGCTGTGGTGTTGGAGAAGAGTACTGAATATCCCAGGGAAGACCAAAAGAACAAATATATATGTCTTGGAGAAGCTATAGCCAGAATGCTCCTTAGAGGCAAAGACAATTAAAATTCACCTCATATACTTTGGGCATCGTGCTAGGATAGGCCATTTATTGGAAAGGGGACATCATGCTTGGGACGATAGAGGGATGGTGAAAGAGAAGAAGACCCTCAATGAGGTAGATTGACACAGTGGCAGCGGCAATGGGCTCAAGTGTGTCAGAGATTGTGAGAATGGATCAGGATAGGACAGGGTTCAGATCTGTTATTCTTAGGGTTGTTATGAGTCATATTCAACTTGACAACACCTAACAACAACAACAGGGAGCTCTGGTGGACTAGGGGCAAGAATTAGCAGTAACAACCTAAAAACATGTGGTTCTAATCCTCCAAAACTTTTCCACACTCCAGCAGAGAAACAGCTAGTCTCCTCCTATGTGATTTACTGCCTCTGAAAACACACTGGAGGGTCCGCTATGAGTTGACTCTGACTCACTAATAAATGACAACAGTAAATATTTCTAAATTTTAAGTACTATGCTGTGTTAGTTGTAGATTCTTATAAAGTGTTGCACAGGGAAGGATTTTCTTTTTTTTTTTCTTTCTTCATCCTACTCAGAGGTCTTCAAGTTTATTTGTTTTGACCTTTCAAAGTAGATATTTTATTGGTTAAATCTCTGCCAAAGCCATATCTCCAAATCTTAGTTTCTAAAGACAACTATTATATATAAAGACAAACATTTATATCTGGAAGCATTGGGAGACATGGAATCTAGCCAAAGAGAGGAGTGTTGAAGACCCTTTCCAGTGAAATTTGCACATGGAAAGCTATTTAATTTGGTGGTACTTGTGTTTTTATGTCCTGCCCTCAAGTTAGTGCTGAATGGACTCTCTAGCTTCTGTTTCATCCCATCACTCAGAAAATCATGTAGGTGGCCTCATCCAGGGATGCACAGATATTAAACATATTAAATTGGTGTTAAACAAGGATTGTTTGGGTTGGCGGTTTTTGTCTCTTTAGAAAAACATTATCTCATAGTTGTTGGTTTGTGGTGTTTTTTTTTTCTTTTATAACTTCTTACTACTAATATTGGTGGTCTGTCCAATCTCCTTGCAGTTTCCCAGCCATCTGCCACAGACTTTGCTCTGGTAGGTCCTGTAGAAAAATTGTATCATTGAGCTATTTTAAATATTCTTTTAAACGTGAGAATTAACTTACTACTATGATTCAAATGCAGATTTCACATATTTAAGAACTGCTATGCAAATATTTTAATTAAAGTTAATGTTTTAGTAAATTTATATACAACCATAATCAAAGACAAACCAAGACCACTGTTATTGCAACCATCAATAAAGTAATTGAAAATTAATAAGAGTTTGAGATTGTTAACAATTTCAGCTTGCCCAGTTCCACATTAACACTCTTGGCACCAGTGACAGGAAATAAAAAAACTGCATTAGGGAAATCTGCTGTCAGGGACCTCGCCAGACTACTGAAAAGCAAGAATGTCAGTCTAGCAACTAAGATGTGCCTGATTTAGGCCATGGTCTTTGAAATTACTTGGTATGCATCAGAAAGCAGGAACAATGACCAAGGATGACAGAAGAATTGATGCCTTTGAGTTATGGTGCTAGAAAAGAGTCCATGAACATACCATAGACTGCCAAGAAAACAAACAAGTCTGTCCTAGAGAGGGTGAAACTAAGTTGCTCCTTGGAGGCAAGGACTGTGAGACTCAGTCTCGGATACTTTAGTCATGTTGCTAGGAGGGACCCATCTTTGGAGAAGGATATCATGCTTGGAAGGGTTGAGGGGCAGTTGCAGAAGACGACCCCAGATGAGATGGATTGACACGATAGCTGGGGTAATAAAGATAGGTGAGTCAGTAACAGTGAGATTGGTTCAGAATAGAGCAAGATTCAGAGTTATGGAGCAGAGGGTCTCTACGGGTCATAGTCAAGTCGACAACATGTAACAATACCTTACTAGTAGGAAACTAGATTTTCTCATAAATACCTGTAATAGTTTAACATTAGTGCTTTATATCATCTTTAACACACACACACATCACTATTTTTAGCAACTAATTAGTAGAATAATAGAAGACTAATTTCTCAGGAAACTCTGGTGACCTACTGGGTAAGGAGTTGCACTGCTATCACAAAGGTAGGAAGTTTGAATCTACCAACTGCTACAAGCTGTAATCTCTTCCTGTGCAAATTATATCCACCAAAAACCATTAGAGGGACAGTTCTGAGTCAGTTCTGATTCAATGGTACACAACAACAACCCCTCAATTAATAGGTATTAAACTTTCATAATATCTTAAGCTAAAGTGAAGCAAATGCTGTCTTCTAAAACATTTGAAAAGGAAGGTTTCTTCTTAGCTCAACAGAAGCAACTATCAAACTTCCTTATCAAAGCTGAAGCCATTTTTACGTTTTAGCCAACCACCATACAATACATGTTGTGGTGATGATGTGTGGTGTGGTGGTGGTGGTCAACTACAACTCACAGCAACCATATGAATAACAGATCTAAATCTTTCCCTATCCTGTTCCATGCTCACAATCTCTATTACGCTCATACCCATTGTTACAGTCACTGTTTCAATCCAATTTGTTGAGGATATCCTCTCTTTCTCTGACCTTCCACTTTTCCCAACATGATGTCTTTTTCTAAGGAATGACACCTCCTTGGAGGTGATACTTCCATTAAATACCGTGGAAGAAACACAGAACCACTGTACTTAGAAGAATTTGTTGCCAATTAAACATTTCAGGAAATAAAATATGATCAAAAATGAACGTAATGGAAGAAGAAGTTCAAGTAACACTGAAGGAATTGGAAAAAAGAAAAACCCAACAATTGGTATGCTGCAACAAACAGATTCAGACCTAAATATGTTCAGTAGTCTATGCCAAGAAATGTGGAAGACCTGACCAGCTGACTAGGAGAGATCCGCATTCAGACCCATTCCCAAAAACTTTGATCAACAGAATATGGAAATTATTCATTATCATTAATATCACATGCAAGTAAATCTTGCTGAAGATTATACAAAAGTGGTTAGTATAGTTCATTGACAGGAAACTGCCAGAAATTCAAACTTGAATCAGAAGAGGCCATGAAATCAGGGATATTATTGCTTATTTCTGATGGATCTTGGCTGAAAGCAGGGAGTACAAGAAGGATGTCTATTTTTAGTTATGTCTATTTATTTTATTGAGCCTTCAAAGGAATTTGACTATGTGGATCATAACAAATTAAAACTAAAATTGACATGAATTCGAATCCCAGAATATTTAATTGTGTACATGCAAAACCTAACTATAGACCAAGAAATTGCCCAAACAAAACAAGGGAGCACCACATGGTTTAAAATCCAGAAAGATACATCAGGGTTGCATCCTTTCTCCATATCTATTTGATATGTATACTAAACATGTTGTTCAAAAAGCTGGACTGAATGAAGAATGTGGCATCAGGATTGGAAGGAGACTCATCAACAGTCTGCATTATAAAGATGACACAACCTTGCTTGCCAAAAGTGAAGAGAACTGGAAACACTTGCTGCAGAAGGTCAAAGACAACAGCTTTCAATATTGATTACATCTCAACATCAGGAAAACCAAAATCCTCACCACCAGGGTCAATAGACAATATCATTACAGATGGAGAAAGATTGAAGTCATCAATGACTTCATTTCACTTGGATCCACAACCCAGCACTCATGTTAACAAGCAATCATGTAACCTGTAGCTAAGAATTACTTCTTAACTAAAGTCTTTTGTTTATGCTTGCCAGTCTACCCTGCAATCTGTAACTGAGAATTATTGCTTTTTGGTACACAGAGGGTGCCAAGCTACCTCTGAGACTTTGACAAGATCAAATCAGTAAACCCAGAGCACTCACCAAGCCTTAATCCCCACAAAAAGGAAAATACTCTAAAAATGCCTCAAACTCAATTGTGCTACTCCTCTCCTATAAAAACCCCTGCAGTCTCCCAATTGAGAAGACGTATTTGGGAACTTCATATCTCCTATCCCCTATGTACTGGAATTTAATTTAATCTGTTTTTTCCTCTCCAATCTCTGTCTCCAAGATTGGTTCTTTCAACGGGAGGCACAGAATCATGTTTTTCTGGTTAGCACCATTAACTCAGTTGCAACTTATGGTAAACTGCTATTGGGGTTTCCAAGACTGTAAACTTGACTAAAGGAGACTGCCTACCTTTCTTCCTAAAGAGCATCTCATGGATTCAAACCACCAGTCTTTCTGTTAGCAGTCCAGTATAACACATTTTGCCATCAGAGCTCCTTACAGACAACAATTTAGGCTTAGCAAATTTTACTTTTTTATTTCATAGCAACTGCTTAAGCCAAAATTTGAAGGAAAAAATGCTAAAGTTGGTTTCCTTCAAGTCATAAGACATCAATTCACACAAGTAAAATTAAACTTATCTGCTCCAATACTTTGAAGTGGTCCCTTCCTCTTAAATTATTCCAAACATTTTAGGATACTTAACAATGATATTTTACATGTGTCAAATAAAACCAAATTCATGGAACATCAACTTACGTATCATATTGTTTGGGTGCCCAAGACATGCATTACTAAATCCTACACAGAAACCCCCATAAGCCATGGTCACTAGGTCTAACGCTTCTTTGGGGTCAGTTGTAGTCCAGTCTCTTTGTCCAGTACCATGTACTCTAAGACGTGCAATTCCACCATCTGAAAAGGAAAAAGTGTTTGATTATCTCTTACTTGGAAAGTGTTCCCATAATGTATCTTAGACTACAAAGCTCACATGATCTGACCTTTGCTCACTTCTCTAGTTTCATGTCCTGCTAGGCTTCAGCCACACTGACATCTCCTTTTTATCCTCAAACACAACAAATCCTCAGAACTTTTGTGTTTGCCAATTTCTTATACTGGAACAGGTTTTCCTAGCTCTTTGAAAGCTGTTTAATTATCACTCTAGTCTCAAATGTGATGACCTAAGAATGGCCTTCTCTCTCATTCTAAAATTTTCTTCTGTCCACTCCATTCTGTTCTCTGCCTGACTCCACAGGTTAACTTTGATCACATTCTCTTCCTTATTTACGCAATAGCCTTTATCATGGTCTGATCTTATTTATTCATTTCTTAGAATTCTTATTAATATCAGTCTTTCAATATCAGAATATAAAATCCTTAAAGGCTGAAACAGCTCCCTATCTTTTTCACTTCTTTATCCTCACTAGAATGAGTCTTAACACATAATATGTGCTCAATTATTTTTTTTACTTAATTAATAACTCTAGGAAAATCTTAAAAAGCTTTTGGGAAATATTTTTAAATATTTAAAGATTGAATTTGTACTCAAAAAAACTACCAGTGAATAAATTCCTGTTCCAGATAGATTCACTGGTAAATTGTACCAAATATTTAATTTTTTCACCATAGAAAAAATGTTTGGTGCAAGATATGAATATTATAAAATCCCACTCTACATAATAAAAAAGCATTTTGTTTTTATTATTTATAACAATCCATTACCTAACATACACTACTTTGACATAAAACCTAAGAAAATATACTCAAGCTCTAAAAAACAAAAAGGTAACTTGATATATTTTGTATAGAATACAAAGATAATATTCACAAGTTCAAACAGCTATTGGGAACCAAGCAGCTTGAGAGTGCAGCAAAGAGCTATTGAGAATAACTCATTATCTGATTCTACCAAGTAAAGTAAAAGTTCTTAACAGATCTATTATTTCCTACAAGGCAGAAGCCAAGTACTTTTTTACATATAATCTGACTAAAACACTAAAATCAAATGAGCATTATACTAAAACTAAGTGTTATTTCTTTTTCTCCGAACAATTTGTTAAAATTGAGTGATCTGAAAAAAATTTTGTAAAACAGTGAGAGACTCACTATTTAGAGTGAATAAAGCTTCAGTGCTGTGACATAAAACCTAAGAAAATTTACTCAAGCTCTAAAAAGCGAAAAGAGAATTTGAGTATATTTTGTAAGTTTTATATCAGTGCAGTTGTGGTTTTATTTGTTGTAAATAGTGAGACTTCCACTTTTCTATAGAATTAATTTGTTTTCTAGATCACTCAGTTTCATCATATTTTTCATGTAACAATAAATGCTAGAGGGAGACATTCAGCAAGAACTAGCCTTTATGAGTAATATGAGTATTCTGATTCATTGATTGTTATCTTTTGTTTTAGTAGCATTAATGATACTTATCTATTGAATGTGAAGAGATTTCCAATAAAAAAAAATTATAGACTTCTTAACTGAGTTAATATCCAGCTTCACTTTTAATCAAAAAAGAACCTCAGATATATGCCTCAATTTTCTGAAGACAATCTCATTTAAAAAAAAAAAAACGCTATTATGTATTCTTGTCATTACAGAAATCCAGAGTGAAGGCTACATAGTGGAGTGGACTTGGATGGGAGGGGTTGCATAACAGTGAAAGAGGTTTTCTTTTTCTTTTCAAGGAGAAGAGTGAATTGGGAGGGTAGGGAGAAAAGAGAAACAATGAATGACTGGAAACCCTAAGTCTCTGTAAACTTCCATTAAAATTAATTTTTAAAAACTGGGGGGAAAAAACCCTATTGTATAAATGAATTAGAACATGCATTAGCTCCCATTTGTTTATTCTTCACAGTAGACGGAGACTTGTTAGACTCCAAAACAAAAAGTCTCCCTAACAAAACATGGTATTTAAACATAGAACCATCGATACTTTTGAATTTTGGTGTTGGAGAAGAGTACTGAATATCCCATAGACTGAAAAAATAGCAAATAATTCTATCTTGGAGGAAATGCAACTAGAATGTTCCATAGAGACAAAGGTGATGAAGTTTCATCTTAAATATTTTGGTCATGTTGTCACTTTTCCTTGGGAAAAGACAACATGGCGGGAAAGGTGGAGGAACAAGAAGAATAGGAAAATTCTCAACAAGATAGACTGGCACAGTGACCATAATAACGAGCTTAATCATAACAGAGATAATATGGACGGTGCAGGATAAAATAGGGTTCAGATCTATTGCTCATAGAATCTTAATGAGTCATAGTCAACTTGACAGCAACTAACAACTTATGTCAGTAAATCAGAAGAGGTGAATGCAGTCTTACATATTCCTAAGTGAAATATTATACAAGATAAAAATTAATGAACCACAGAACACAAGAACTCATTGTATAAATACACTATTTGTTTCATAAACCACAATTTTCATAGAATTATAGTACTAATAGCCTTACATAAATGAAAATTATTCTTTAAAAAACTATAAATTGAAAAATATTTTAAATACCCTATAAATTGTCATGTGCCAAAAAAATTGGAAAACTTGGTGTCATCTGTCTGCCCCATAAGCTGTGTCACCCCCTGACTTCAGATACAAGGAGTGAAGGGGTGGGAATAGAGGGGTGATGATGGGTAGGGGTGAAACCACAGGGTTTCTCAGTTTGGTGTGTGGAGGGAGGGGGCGAAGGAAATGTGAAGGATCCAGCAGGGACCAGAAAAGATTGGGTAATGCTGGGCAAGGTCCAGTGGTGATTGATTTTATAAAGCGTGAATGATTTTAGGAAACACAATATGAATGAAGAATAGTGTGAAACACAATGTATATGAACTTCGTGAGCAAACTAATATAAAAACAAATGAACAAAAAAAATGAACTGGCAGAGACAGAGGGTAGGGGAAAAAATGTACAAGAATGAATGAATGAAAAAATCCAACTTTTCTATAAACTTTAATTAAAATCATAATAATTTTTTAAACTCGGTATATTTATGATTACTGGCAAATTCTCAAAATATACAAAATGCCAGCTGAATGCACTTATATGTGGTTAAAAGATTGAATTTGTATTCAAAATAATGACCAGTGAATAAATTCCAGTACCAGATAGATTCATTGGTAAATTCTACCAAATATTTAACTATTCACAAAAAATGCAGGCAATGTATCATACAAAAAAACTATGAAACAGTATCTCTTATAAATACTGGTATGAAAATCCTCACCAATGCACTAACATTCCAAGTCAATCAATATATGGGAAGAATTGGCCAAGTCTTATTCTAGAAATATAATTTAGGTATGTTGATTAGTTTAAAACAACAAATATCAATAAAATTCTAAAAACACAAGTTTATCTCAATAAATGCAGACATAAAATCTAGTATCTGTTCATGGTATAAAGACACCCAAAAAAATAGAATTCAAAGGAAAACTTCATTCTGAGAAAGGGCTTCTTACTAAAATCTGCATTTAATATATTTGCATTCTATTCCTTTAAAGGGTTTACAGCCTCATACATAGAAATAATATTTTGTACACATGAGTGATATCAGAAGAAGCGGCCACTTGGGCCTGAATGACATCAGAGATCAGGGACCAGAAGAGCTGCCCACTAAACTTTGAACTCTCAGTGGTATCATCTTATAGGCTGAGGCTCGAGCCCCAAGGACTGCCCAGAGCAAACAATGAGCCAAAACTAGAAATTCATGTCACAAGGAAGAGGTCTTTATTGCCTAACTCCTTTCAAGGAGGAATGTCCATCTCTTTGGGGTTGTAGCTTTCTACTAAATCTGTCATTACAACTTACCCTAAAAAAAATTTTTAAAAAATTTACAGCTTCAGAAACTCAGTGAAAGGTCGCTATGAATCCAAATGGATTCCTTTTGTTGTGGTGGTTATTGATTGGTGCCATCCAGTACACTAGAACTCATAATGATTCTATGAACAACAACATGTTGAAACTTGCCCCATGCTGTCTCTGATATGCCTGAGTTCATTCAGGCATACAATCACTGTGTCGGTTCATCTTGTTGAGGGTCTTATTCTCTTTCTCTGATCTTCCACCTTTCCTAGCATGATGCTTTTTTCCAAAGACTAGATCCTCCTGACAACATGAACAAAATATGTGAGACCAAGTTTCATTACCATTGCCACTAAGGAGCAACCTGATTGCATATCCTCCAAGACCAACTTGTTTGCTCTTTTGGCAGGCCATATAACCATCAGTGTACTTCTCCAACCACAGTTTACAGGCATTGGATTCTTCTGTCATCTTTATTCACTGTCTGACTTTCAGATGAATAGAAAGGTAACACATTACACCTACACCACCAGACTCCTTAAGTAAAATACTAGCTGTCAGCCATGTTTCAGAGGTTTAATATTTTACCTAAAAACTCCTGGTGATGTAGTGCATTGTTCGCTGGCCTACTACAATTTGAATCTACCAGCTATTTCATGCAGAAAAGATGAGCAATCAATCATCTCTGTAAAGATATAGTTTTAAAAAAACTACACGAAGGGTCATCATAAATTGGAATCAAACTCAGTAATAGTAAGTTTTGTAATAATGTTACTGTGGTGGTAAGGATTTATTGTTCAAAAAGTCTTCCCAACTGACTTTGTCATATGGATGGGTGGCAATATGTGAATAAGGCATGTTAGCCAATCCACAACAGGATTGGCTAGTCTTGCCATTAAATTGAGCAGTTCCAGCAGCAGAATTTGAGAATGAAGAAGCAAGTTAATGCAGTTCTTTGGTGCCAGAGATTCTTGCACCAGACAGACCTGCAGGAGAGCAGTAGCAGAGGAAGCAGAGTACCAGAGACTGGACAGGAGACAGAGTTGACCTTGGGACTGCTATTCTACAGAATCAGAGCTGAGAGCCTTTGCCAAAGTTTGCTGCAGGCCTGAG